TGGCCCTTAAAATCTAGTTTTAAGTATTATTTAAGCATGTATGTTCAATCTAATCTCTTGGTTTTCTTTGTAATAAAAATCCAAGAGCATGAAAAGCAATCTAATTTTCTTACCTAGAAACATGTTTAGGTAATAAAAATAATTAATTTTACTAATTAAGAAATGAGGAGGCTTTACTACATTTGCAGGCACAGTTTCGATAATTTTAACTCAATTAAAAAAGAATTAAAAAACACTATTAAGAATGTATGGTGGCCCATGCCAGTAGGACATGCTGACAAGGCAGAGGCAACAGAATCATGAATTTGAGGCCAGACTCGGCTCTACATTGTCTTTTCTGCCTTTGACATTAATAAAAAGGAATTTTAAAAAATTACCCTGAATTCCTCTATACTTATTTAAAAAACAAAAAAAAGTTTGTCTTTCTAAATTTCTAAATATGTGGAATTTGACAAGCAGCTTAGAGTTTATGAGAGGGAACAGAATGATGACCAAGCTGCATCCTCCCAAACCAGTGTAGCAGAGGTGTTCTTACAAGTTTGCTTATGAAAACTCTAGACACTGACTGGGGTGTGTTCAGGGAGAGGACTAGTGTCAGAGAAGCTAAGGAGATTTCTAAATTGCTAAAAGCAAACACTATGGTTCTTCTTCCTAAACTAATGATTCAGCAATTCGTCATTGATCTGCATCAGTTTGCTAGCAGGACAATGTACTACAAGTCCAGAGATTGGTTGTTGTATTTCGAGCATCTGATGAGATGGAGTGTGTAGAGCTGAGGCCATGTCACCACTCCTGTTCTAGCAAATCCCACCGTCCTCAAACCTGAGGCAGTGCTAGCTGGAGAAAAGGCAAGGGCATGTCCTCAGTACATGGTGTGGACAGCTGGTGTGAGTGCCATCCATCCAAGATTGGGAAAGGTTAAATAAACAGTAGGACAGTGACAAAGTACAGGGATTAATGGCTGAAAGCATTCAGTGATTCTTAAAACAGACATTGAAGTAAGTGGAGGTATTCTGAAGCCTGGGTTCTGAGAAACGGTGTAAGAAAGCTTTAGTTTCCTTTGGAAGCAAACTTCCTGCAGACAGAGGACCAGATAAATGGAGCAGCTCAAAAGTGTGTGTGTGCAACCTCAGGTGCACTTTATTTTGAAGAGACCATGAACTCACATGGAGGAGTATATGCTGTCATTTCTTATAAATGTTAAGCTATCAATGAGGTGGAGAATTGATATTTCTAACAAAGGAACACTAAAATGAAAGAAAATTGTAGTGAACTACAGTGCCACTCAGCTTTCTCTCTTGAGGCTTGTACTTACTAAGCCCCCCTGCCTCATGCTCCAGTGCAGCGGTAAGACATAATTCAGTGGGTGCCTGATCAGATTTGGCTAAAATCACCAGTAAAAACTACCTTTTTAAGTGCTTTCTTAGATTTATGATGTGTGTGCGTGTGTGTGTGTGTGTGCGCGTGTGTGCATGTGTATAAGTATGTAAGTGTGTAATTTGGCAGAACTGGTTCTCTTTTTCCACCATGAGTCCTGGAGATCAAAATCAAGTTCTCAGACTTGGCAACAAGCACCCTTATCCACAAGCCATCTCACAGGCCCTCAAGCTATTGGTAAAGGAGATGCATAAACAGCAAAGGGACCACAAGCCTTTCCATACTCATGCACACACACAATCTACTGTAGGAGTACGAGGATTGCTGGTGTGTGCCACTGCACCCAGCTTCTTCATGGCACTTCCAGGGGTCAAACTGAGTCGTCATGCTTGTGAGGTGAGAAGCCATTTACTCACTGAGCTGTATGTGTGGTCCTCTTCTAGTCTCTGGACTTCAGTTATACTGTGCATGCTGCTTTGCTTCACTGTCCCTGGTCTATGTTCATGTCCATGTGATTCTGTGTGATCACTGCAGTTTTGAACACGGTAGGTTCACCTGTAGTGAGGGCAAAACCAGTGAGCTTTAGATAAAAAGTAGGGGAGGCCTGTTACTCTCTAAGGCGGTTGAGCTCTGGAGTGACTCCATAACATTGTTACGCAACACAGGATGCGGGGTACTGGGGCCACTTCTCCATGTTTTCTATGAACAACTGTGAACATGGGCTGTTTCCCTGCTGTTTGCTCTGCAGGGCCTTATGTGAAGTAAAGGTATTACTGGGAGGGATGGTAACCAATGACTTAGGGAGTAGGTGCTTCCCCTGCCTAGCAGCTAACATGGCCACTCTACATTTCAGCCAGTAGGAAATGAAGAAGAGGAAGGTATACAATTTCACCACTAAGTGCTTGATCAGTATGTTCAAAGAGAAGATGCTTACAGATCAGGAACAACATCTGGACCCATAGTCAGCAAAAAGAAATCTATGATGAAACATTGTTTTCAGAAAGTTCTGTTGCTCTGATGTTGCCATAAGGATTGAAAGGCATAGCTTTAAGTTATTAAAACTTTTTTCTTTTAGAAAGAAAGAATGGAAATTCAATATCCAATTGAGTCTCAGAATAGTTATCAAAACCATTTCACACTTAATCCTCTAGAGCTGTCATTGCTAAATATACATGTAACCTCCTTCTTGGAGTGTTTTCAGAACCAGTTTAAAAGATGCCCTAAAAAATATGTATCGTTTGTCACTATGATCTGAAAATATATCCCCTGATTCATTCTGTGAGCCACTCTTAATAAAATTCATTTTAACAAAAATACTATTTGGAGACTCAATATATAGCCCAGGGCTAGAGTCCCTGTCCCACATGTCTGAGGCCCTAGGTTTGTTCTCTAGTACTGTATTTCCTATACACATGCACACATATATGTATTCAGATCTTTAATTAATATAACAAGTAGACCGGGTGTAGTGGTGCATGCCTTTAATCCCAGCACATGGGAGGGAGAGGCAGGCAGATCCCTGTGAGTTCAAGGCCAGCCTGGTCTACAAATCAAGTCTAGGATAGACAGGTCTTAATACACAGAGAAAACCTGTACACACACACACACACACACACAAGCTTTGAAGCTGATTTCAGTAAAAACTTTGTAAGCACCCTTAGTATAAGTTTATTGTTTCTTTCAAATAAATGTTTTTATATAACAATGAATTTTCTTTAAACTTACCTTAAAGAGTAAGTAGATGTATTTCACAAAAGGAAATTAAATGCTTTTCTAAATTAATTTTTAAGCAAATATTTTTGTATATTAATAAAAATGAAGCTTTCATTAATTCCAGAATTGAGTTCATGTACTTTTAAACAAGCTAGTTTAGTCGTGGAATACAGATTGCACTATTTCTACTACTGCTCTGTATGATAACTGCTTCACAGAGTTGAGGGTAGAGAACCTTAAAGGGACAGTAAAACACAGCCTCAAAGTAAGTAGAAATGCTAGAATCATTAAGAATTTACCGCAGCAGGCAAGAATGTCTGTGGAATTAGAGGCTGATGTCAAGGTGTATTTTATTTATAAGAGTCTACCACTCAGCATTGCTCTTGGTACTTGGAGTACATGAGTAAACAAAGCAAAGACTATGCCTTTGCAGGACTTGTATTCCAGTCACTTTAAGCAAAATATGGAAGACTGGCATAAAGCTCATCGTTTGTAGAGTAGACTGGATAAGCATAACAGTAAATGGAAGAAAAAAATTGTAAACAGTTTAGCCACGTGCAGTCTTAACAAAAATTAACAATCTTTTAAAAAGCTCTTGGCTTTCTGGGCCATGAGCTGAGATTCTAGAATGAAGATACTAAAAAGTTAAGTGTGTCATCACCATTAGCAATAGCTAAAAAGCATAGGTCCGTCAAGTTTCAGTGAGGGAAAGATGGATTAGTGATGGGTACATATTATTCAGTGTTGACAAAAAAGATGCTGATGTGAATAAATCTTGAAAACATTCTGCTAAGTGAAATAAGCCAGTTGCAAAAGATAATTACTGAATGATTCCACTTTTATAAAATGCCCAGAGGAGCCAAATTCACTGAGAAAGTAGAATGGTAGTTAACCAGGAGCTGAGGCAGGGAATTGATGAAGTATTGTTCAGTTTTTCAAGGTTAAGAGGCCTGGCAGAGATTAGTTGCACAGTTGTATGGATGCATTCAGTAGCACTGAACCTCTGACAGCAGTTGAGATGTTTGTAAGTGGGACTGGAGAGGTGGCTCAGTCGTTAAGAATGCACTACACCTACATACAACACTAGTTGCCAGGGATTCAGCCTTCTGTTCTGGCTTCTACAGGTGCCTGCACTCAAGTGCACATGCCCACATAAAGACACATAAGTATACACATAATTAATAAATCATTAAAAAGATATTATATTTATCACAATTTAAAAGTTATGTGTTAACTAATTGCTAGAGAAAAAAATTAAGATTAGCCATAATGCACCATACTTGGGGGAGCTGACCTTGCATATATGAAAGAATTGAAGGTTATTTACTAAATGCTTTTCTTCATCATCCGGGTGATATAAGTGCTCAAAGGAGATGCTGACAAGGAAGGAAATAGCAGTCAGTGGAGTAGGTAGACCCTGACAGAGACTGGCTAGACATGTTGCAGGTAGAGAGAGGCACTGAAAGTCTACAAGAAAGATGTAGGCTGAAAATCTAGAGGTGGTCCTGAATGTATATGTGCCAGGACCACCCGTAAGCAGTGTCCTGAGAGACCCAAGAAACTGACTTTGGAAAAACAGGATAGTATGTAATGACGGGAAAGTTGGAGATGGAACTTTAAGAATAAACGGGACCCCAGATAAATGGGCGATGATGGTTCAGAAATGACAATCCCCATACAAAGCTGTGCATTCAGTAAAGAATTAGAAAGAGAAACGGCTATGCTCAATGTTGGCCATATGACGCAAAGTGCAGTTGGATTACACAGGTAGTGTCAGCCTGGGGACCCGGGAGTGGGTACCTCCATTAACATGGTGGGGAAACAGGATGGTGAGGGAAATACTGACTTGGTGCCGACATTTTGCATCCAGGATATTTCCTACTATCTAAATAAAAGAACAGAACACATGGTTTAATTGTTGAGAGATCAGGTTTACTCACAGCAGCCCCATTGTGCCTCACAAAGGTTAATCAGGTTAGTGTGTCTTCCATACTCTGAGACCTCTGCAAAGCAAGGAGGAAATTATAATTGAGTGAACATCTTCAGGGCATGAAATAGAAGAACAAAACAGATATCCCAGCAATTGCCTATAATCTCAGGATAGTTGGTTTTAAATAATAAGGCAACAGAATCAAAGTGCATGTAGTCCATTAATAAGAGAATGGATTTTCTATTTAATATGGGTTGTTGTCAGTTAAACTGTGCCTCTTCACCCATAGTATTAGCATGCTAAAGTCGATGGCCTCCTTCTTTCATCTGATCTTTTCTCCAAAGCTTTCAGGATTGTGGAGCACATTGTATATACCTCTGCAGCTATCCAACTTGAAATTCAGACTTGGACGAGGAGGGAATGGTAAACATTGTTGGTTATGCTCCTTAATTTATGCCCCTTGTACTTCAGTGCACTTCTGTGGAACACATACTTAGCACTCCCGCCAAATCACCATTTCAGTCTTACTGAAGTTTCTTACTGGTGCTGGAAGGCCACTGTGTTAAAGATTCAGAAATCATCAAAGGATGCTCAGCTCTCAGTGCCTTTGATATTTGTCTCTAGTTTCTGAAATTTGCCCAGAAGGAGGAAAGGAACAGAGGGGAGGGGAGGCCTTACTATTTCCTGGAGCTCAAATGCCACAGTAGTGCACATCTTGATTCCATTAGACTTTGCAGGTCAAAGAGCAAGTTCAGCTGGTGTAGTTTACAGCACCAGGGACAGAGTGACTAGCCACTTTAATGACTTGCCTTTTTGCTGCAACTTACTCAGGAAGTAGGGGTTGCTAACCACTGAAATGTTTGTATCCACGGCTGGGGTGGGAGTGTTTGTTAACTGAGGAATAGACTCAGAACAAGGAGAGTGACTTGGCAGGAAGTGCACTGACATTTTGTCCTCTGATCCTCTGGGGGTTCTCCCTTGTGTCTTCCTAGTTGCTCTCTTGGGGCTCTCCAGGGAAACAGTGAGGCTGCTTGTGCTAACAGGGCTCCATCTGGGGGTCAGCCTCTAGTTAGGAACACTCTTTTGTGGTCAACTTGTTTGTCTACTTTCTCAAAAACATTTGTGTTCATGTTAGATCTCTTCTAACATTTGTGTTCTAGATCTCTTCCTAGAAAGGATCACTTCTGACTTTTTAAAAATCTTTTCTATGTCTCTGTTTCCATTGGAGAAATACTACTTTTATCAAAAAGTAATATTCTTTTTATGAAGAAGAGTGTTTTCAATAGGCAGCGACTAAACCCACTTTCTTTCACAACTTAACCTTTTGTTTTATTCTAAATTTTGTTGCCTCTGAAAACACAACATTTTAAACGAAAGTTTCAACTTTTTTGCAGTGCAGTCTAAGATGCACCTAATACCAGCTCACAGTGTAGTCCTTCCTGTGAGATGTACCAGGAGCAGCAAGGGTAATCCCACCAAGTTTAAAGCCCTCTCTGTTGCTTACACATCCTTGCCTTGTCATAAACATTCTCAAAGGATATGACTCAGTGGTGGAACTCAAGGCCCTGAGTTCAGTCTCCATGGGCAGTGACTTCACAGTTTTTCAAGATGGTTCACCCAAAGAAATCCAGTTTGTTCCACACCCAGCACATTTACTAGCAAAAGGACATGTTTGCAAAAGAGACTTTATTCAGCAACAGTCAAACATGAGGTGCCAGGACATCTCTCCTGTATCCCAGTAAAGGGATAGCTGTGGGGCCTAGATTATAAGTGTGACTCTCCATGCTAAGCCTGAGCATGGGACTTCGCCCCATCAGATCTTGCAAGGGACCCAAGTAAAGGCTTGGTAGTTCCAGACAGTTTTAATCATTGCTAACTACCTGAAAGCCTTGGAGATCCACACAGCAGAGGCACTATCTGTAGCAAAGCAGTAGAACTGTATTGCTGGGCTTCACTATACGACATCTCAAGCTGGTGATGAGAGTGCAAAGTCTTAGGTTTGGGCTCAAGGAAACACTGAGACGGATTGTCCATTTAAACAAGAGCTTGGTTTATTAGAAGAGTTATTAATGTCAAGGAAAGACAGGCATGGCAAGGGTCCTGAGGAAAGCTGAGGCCCACAGGACAAAGTGAGGTTGCCTTCCTACAGGTTCCAGAAAAGGGAGAGACTCTATACCAGGGGGCTGATGGGTCCATAGTAAATGCTTGCAAATCAGGCAGCCTCTGATTCCCTGATGGCAACAGGAGGGGATTGTTTGTTGCATTCTGAGGAGAGAACGTGTCACCTTGAGGGTATAAGGAATGCGAGGAAAAGGCACCTACTTAGTTAGTGTGCATCTATTATATTAGGTGTTTAGGAGTTGGGTAACTCAATAGCTTGGAATGTGGTAGCCTAGAGTCTATCTGCAGAATCAGCTGTCAGGATGGGGAGAGGCACCACCCAGGTGTGACCTGAGCAGCATCTGGAGTGGATCCCAGCGAAAAACAAGTGAAGCTCCAGAGCCTTATTCATGTTTTCTTTGGGCATTAATAGTATCCATTACAAATTTATTAAAATTATAACCAAGAGAACAATACTGTCTCTATTCCTAACTGTCCAAGCATACCATTTATGTAAGAATTGGAACTCAATCAACATACTTCAACAATGTGGAATAATTTCACCTTTTCACACTGTGCTTTTCTTCTTTTTTTATTACCCCACATGAGTATGCATGCACACACGCGCAGTGGAGAGGCCAGAATCTAGACATTTCTCTCCTTCTACCATCTAACTCAGGCTTGCCAATCCTTGAGCATTTCTCCTAATGTAAAACTCAAATCCCTGCCATCTTTGTATTTGTATCTAATAAAGTACTGATCGTGCCATATAATTATATTGCTAACATTAATTCCTCATTTCCTCTTTGGCTAATACGAACTGTGATTCTGACAGTCAGTGCACAAGCATGCAGCATCCTCACTGAGAGCGCATTCCAACGCTTCCCATTCTAACATTTAATGTCCTGAAAGGACCCCGATGACAGTCAATAGGAAGTGTACAGTATTCAGGTAAACCAGCTTGAACTCCTTCAGCTATAATGGCATTTCACTGCTTAACATATGTGTTTCAAATGATCAGTTGTTTTATTTTGGTGCTAAACTAGAGCTTGGATGTGTAAGCTACCTGCCATTTTTCCCGAGATCCACAGTGTTGAGACAGTAGAAAGTGATGCTAGGATCCATAGGATCTTCTCTTCTCTTCCAACAGCAAAAACTAGTTAAATGAGTTTTTATTTTCATGTTGTAAACTGATCTGTGGCCCACGTTTGTTAGTATTACTTGTTCAGCGTTTGGTAGATCTACTCATCTGAAATAAAATCTTAGACTATTTAAATGATAGTCTTCCAGTTTGTGGCTTCACTAAACTTTTCCATATGACTACAGTTTTGAAGCTCAGTTATCTTAACAAAAGTCAGAAGCAAAGGTAAGCTTCAGCAGTGCTTTCTCAGGTTCAGCATTTCCTGGGTCAAAACCTACAGCTACTTTATATAGTTCTCATGTAGTAACTCAGGTCAGTCCCCTACCATGAGAGATGACCTAATGAAGGGTGGGTTTGGGCCCATAGGCAGTTTCTTCACCCAGTTCATAGATTATTTGTAAGTTCCTTCCACGTACCTTCTTGATCTTTACTTTGTGTACACAGGCTAGAGTAGTTAGCCAGACTGTGGTAAAGAGTAAAGTGGAAAGCAAGGTCAGAATTATCACAGTATTAAAGTTTGCACAGAGAAATGGAAAGCTCTCATCATGAAAGCACAGAATAAGTTTATTGTATGCAAATGATCCCAAAATCCAAGACTATAAAAGTTTCAGTGCTTCATACAGCTCACCATTGAGCCTCGGCCCTTTTCACCAGCTCTGACCTACTTTTTTTTTTTTCTTTTTTAAGAAATGTTTTCTTTCTTGATAAACTGTAGTTGTTTCTACCACTTTCCTTGTGTCCTTGATCCAGTTTCTCATTATAAGAAATCCCAAAGGATACCCAGTGAACCCCAATATCTGCCTGTAACAAAGCCACTGGTAATCTGTGATATTTAAATTATTGTTTCAAAGTATATAGAGGTCATTACCAAGAAAGTCACACCCCTAAATTTATTTGCATTAATGAGATCAAACACTTACTGATATTCAGCATGCCCCAGGAACAAATGGCTGTGTTTCAAAGTCCACTTTCTTGAAGTTTGCAAATCAGGGCTGGCAGCATAAGGTTGAGTACAGTAGGTGAAGGCATTTGTACCTAAGCTGGACAGTCTGAGCTCAGTTCCAATGTTGGAAACAAAGAAAAAAGAGAAAGAATAATCTCCATGTCCCACAAAGGAACACAATACCAAAGTAAAAGTAGCTTGGCAAGGCAGTTCCTTTTGTAAAGAGTATAGCAAGACTCAAACCAGGCTAGCAACCACCACAGCGGGAAGCTCCCTTGATTTTATTCTAGCACAGGTAGTAACTGTTTTGTTTTCTCCATTGGCTGAGGTCCAGCCTCACAGTCTTTGCTGTTGGTTAGTTTTAAAAGAGTCAACATGAAGGAAAGAAGTAGGGGTTAAGATTTGCATAAAAGTCATACAAGCTAGGAGAGATTTATGGATTATTAGCCCTGGTTGGGAAAATTACCTTTAATAGAAAAAATGGTTTTAATACCCAAGACTCCACATAAGTGGAGAGAACAGTCTCACTATGTAGCCCTTGCTTGCTTGGGACTCACTGTGTAGACCAAGTAGGTCTCGAATTCACGGAAATTGGCTTGACTCTGCCCCTCAAGTGCTAGGACTATTAAAGACGTGTCACCATTCCTGGCCTTATTTTACTTTTTAATTAAAAAGTAAGAATATATTTTTTAAAAAAAGAGTTCCTACATAGAGCTGTAGCTAAGTTTGAAAAATATACAAAGTTAGTGACTTTTCTGTTTAGTTGGTACAATCTTGTCACATATATACTTTAACTACTTAATTCCTCCTGCTGATGAATACTATGTATCAGACCATGGAACCATCCCTTTAAGACATTGGTCACACTCAGAAGCCAGATTCCACCAAAGAAATCAGGCCACACATCACACATAGAGAGACAGAAACACACAGAGAGAGAGACAGACAGACAGTTCATGCCCTTTTTACCCCAATCCCAACAGAATTGTGAAGCTGTCCTATGCTGCGCTTTTTACAGTTCCCAACTTTAGGTTCTACCCAGTACTTGGCTCCTTCATGCTCTGTCAAGTGAACAGTGTTGAACTGAATCACATGGTATGGCCTTCCTGCCACCCCATGAAATGATGTAAAACTCAGCTGGTTTCCTTTGTTCTCCAGATTGTTTTTTGTAGAACTACAAAAAAAAAAAAAGTGTTTCAGTGTTCATGTGGTTGTTTCCTCCCATTTCAGGCAAGAAGCTCTTCTGGCTGCTATTAGCGAAAAGGATGCTAACATAGCTCTTCTAGAGCTTTCCTCCTCAAAGAAAAAGACTCAAGAAGAAGTGGCTGCACTGAAACGGGAGAAGGACCGCCTGGTACAGCAGCTCAAACAACAGGTATTAGGTGTGCCGGAGGACAGCAGAGGCAGGCCAAGGAGGGCCTAGTCCTCTGCCCTTTCAGACATGTCTGCCATCTCAAAGATGTTTTCAGTACCTTTTGTTTCATGTTAGATATTATATACAGAATATTTTCATAATTAGACACTTAAAAGGTCTATGGCTATATCTTAAAAAGGGTCACAGAATTCTCTATTGGACTAGGAAGACCTTACAGGTGTCAAGGTTTTTAAAAAACATTATAAAGTCACACTGATCAATCCTTAGTCATATTCACACTTGACTATTTATTATGTTGGACATTTACTTTCTGTGTATTTGCACCTTTAGGGGGTTCAGTTTGCTTTCATTTTATGGAAACAAGATCTTGCCATGTAGCTCTGACTGGTCCAGTACTCATTTTGGATCCTAGGCTGGCCTTGAATTCATGACAGTCCCCCTGCCTAAACTTACCCAGTGCTGGGATGAAAAGTATGCACCACCATATCCAGATGTATCTAAAAAATTTTGCCGGGTGGTGGTGGCGCATGCCTTTAATCCCAGCACTTGGGAGGCAGGCAGAGGCAGGTGGACTTCTGAGTTCAAGAGTTCAAGGCTAGCCTGGTCTACAGAGTGAGTTCCAGGACAGCCAGGGCTACACAGAGAAACCCTGTCTCGAAAAAAACAAAACAAACAAATAAAAAATGTTTGTCATAGTTTCTAATGATAGGACTTAATATTACCAGTAAAATTCTGTTTCACCGGTGGTCAAATCAGGGCACTAATCAACTGAGAACAGATTAGCTCCAAGTGTCAGTGGTTAGTAGAGTCCGAGCTTTCCTCCAGCCTGCACTACTGCCACATCAGAATCTTCTTCAACTCTGTGGCTTGCTAAGCCAGCTCACAAACTTCTTAGCACCCCTCTCTCTAGGAAGTCTCTTCCCTGGACCACAGTCTTTACTGTGAACAGATCCTTCTAGACGCTCATCTGAATTTATTTAGCATCATTGACCCAATTATTATTAAATACTTACTATATATCAAGACCTTTCCTGAAGACGTGCATTTATTACAAGAGCTATTTGTTTTGTCCAGCATTCTGGATATTTCATCACACAAGAGTTTTCAGGTCTAACAAAGACATATTTCCTTCCAGTTAGACTAAAAATCTGAGCAAGAACATTTTTATTACTATTTTTTTAAATATTTTCCCAGATTACTTAGCAAATCTCAATTTAAAATCCTATAAGTAGTTGGTCTTCGTTTTGTTATTGTAAACAACTGTCACGTTCCAGAGTGTACAGTAGAACTACAGACTAAGAGTTTAGGAATAAGTTAATGGGTTAGGGATATAAGTTAAGTAGGTCCGCAGGTCATAAATAATGCATCCACTCATAGTGAAAAGACTTCATGAGTCGCACTGTAGAAATATGACATTTCCCTCAACTATAAATAAATATTGTGAAATGTGAAGATGAATTAGCTTCTTCAGAGAACCAAGATCTCCTTGAGTAGACTAGTAATTAAGTGCAAAGCTGCAGTGTATATGCCTCTTGGCACATGCGTCAAATTCCTGGGAGCGAGCTGACTGTCAGGTCCTAAAGCTATTGCTCCCTGTTTGCATCCTGCTCAGTTGACAAGAGCCTATTCCTGGTCTCACTGATGTTTCTCTTAAAGGCTGGGCATCACCTTTCTCCTTACACAATCTTAATCTGGGTGTCCCCTGAGATTATACCCAGGTGACTGGCACAGGGTCAGGGTGGAGTCTTCACTCACAGTTGAGCATTTTCCTAGTTTCCTATTGTGTTGCATTTTAACTATGTAACCTTTCAGTACCACATTATTTTCTAATCGCAATGTTCTTACTGTAAAGGGGTATTTGATTGTTTCTAAGTATTTCTATACAATTGGAGGAAATGCCCATCAGTAACTGTCAACTTTTTTACATTAATTATTGATGTATTTTGTTGGGTACATGTGCCACAGTGTGCATATAGAGGCTGGAAGACAACTTGCAGGAGTCTCTTCTAGAAATGGAACTTGTCTTACCAGATGTGGGGAAAATTTAAAAGGGCTGCCACAGCGGTGGGCCCCAGAGGGGCTTCCACTGCTGTGGCGGATCCCACATTCAGGGGGAACTCTATGGTTCCAGCGGCCTGGGGGCCTTGGCTGCGGCAGGCCCCAGTAACACGAGGAAGTCCTTGGTTCCAAAAAGGTTTATTGTCATGGTGGATGATAGATGGATCTAGGCGTACCCCCAGTTATATAGGGAGGGAGAAAGGGGGAGGATTGGGGGAGGATCTGGGGGAGGCATGTTTAATTTGCTCTGCCCTCTGGCCTTCATTAGTATGTAAATCCCTAGGGCCTGAGGCCTATAGCCTGGCCTATGTAATTCTATGGAGACCGTGACTGCTTTTCAGGATTCTGGGTTCTGGGGGGCACCAAACTCCTGCCGGTTCTCATGCAGAATCCCATCCAGAATCTGCAGAGTCTCGGGGTTCTAGGCACCTGCTCCACCATGACCCAGGATACCCTTACGCAGTCCCACAACCAGGCTTCATAGCAAGTGTCTTTACCCGCTGAGCCATATCACAAGCCCCCAGTAATACTTTACATAATTCTTTTATGTGGTTCTGTCCATTATGTAGTTGCCAGGTTTTAGTCTCTCTGAGAATTACTAGAACACATGACACTTTATTGGCTACCTTCACTCTTGTTTGCTGCTTCACTATATAAAGCCAGTTATTCTGACAGTCACTGATTTAGACCTTGAGATAGACAGAAACTTTGATTTGGTGCATCTTGGATTCTAGTAGACCTAGGAAACATACACTTATCTGAAAGCTAACATTTGTACGTACTTTGAAATGTCTCCTGAATCCTGCTGGAATGCTGGTTCCCACAGTGACAGTTGCCAGTGCTCTGTCCATGTTCCATGTATAAACTAGCTGTCTGCCCCCAAATATATGTCACTCTCCTGACTCCTTCACTCGAGATAGGAACTCCCTGCTCTTGGGTAGAATGTGTTTTTCATCTCGCCTTGGAGCAAACCGTATCATTGTCCTTTTGTCTGTCTCTCACAGCAGCTCTATCTAGTGTAAGCCTGTGTTCTTCATGGTACAGAACAGATTCTTTGCTGAGGTGGTTACCTCCCTTTTCTTAGGAGATGAGGTATGCGAGTGCGGAACACCCCGTTCACTCCGACTTTCCTTTTGGTGCGCAGACGTATATCTTTACTTCCGTTGGAAAAATATTAGCTTTTTTCTAGCCAAGTGCATGTTACTTTACTTGTGTAAAAGGTTTGTCCTCTTTCTTCCCATCTTGAAGATTCTACTAACAGTTGTAAATCTGCTGATACATACATATACATTTATATTTATATATGTGTGTATTTCTGTTTAATTTCTTAAGTTTTGAGAAGAGCTTTATTAAACTCGTTTGAGGGCTTATCAGATGCTTCTATTTATTTATTTTTTAACTTCTTGGTCTGAGGCCTTGACCCTACCCATTGAAGCAACTATTTTTTTAAAGACTTTGATTCATTCCTTAACAATTTCATTCATGTATACAGTGTACCTTGATCATAATCTATCACAAGATTCCTCCACACACTCTCCTCATAACTTCCTGCCTCCCCAATTCCATAGCGTCTACTTAGAACTGCCTCCTGGAATGCTGGCTGTTGTCAGCTTGTTTGTGTGCAGGTAACCTCAGTTCAGTGAGTCCATGAGTGTGATAGCCATGCCATGTCCTCAGCAGCCGTTCACAGTACTCTGTCTCATGTTTTGACTTTTACATTCTTTCTACCTCCCCTCCACAAGTTCCCTGAGCCTTGATGGGATGATGGAAATGTTGCATTTTGTGCTGAGCGCTGAGTGGGCACATCATCCCAACTTTGACCAGTTAAGAGTCTCTGTACTAACTGCTGCCTACTACAGAAGGAGACTTCTCTGGCCAAGATTGGAAGCAACTCTAAGGCTATAAATGTAAATATTTAGAAGGCAATTTGACAACATTTCCACTTATCAAAACAATAGTAGTAGGTTGCCCTCTGGGGCCTTTGACCTCCTAAGCCATGGATTGTGTTCAATATGGAACAACTTTTTTTTTTTTTTTTTAAGATTTATTTATTATATATATGAGTACATTGTAGCTGTCTTCAGACACACCAGAAGAGGACATCAGATCCCAATACAGATGGTTGTGAGCCACCATGTGGTTGCTGGGAATTGAACTCAGGACCTTTGGAAGAGCAGTCGGTGCTCTTAACCACTGAGCCATCTCTCCAGCCCCTGGAACAACTTTTAAAGCCTCTAAGTTGCAGCATGATAAATATGTAGATCCTTACCTATCCAATTTACTATTGGCTTTCTGTAGTACATAGAGAATTCTCTTCTAAACACAAGTAAAATCGTATTTAAAAACCACTGAAGATCTAATATGAACCAAACTTTAAAGTCACCGATTTTTAATTTATTTTTTTACTCTACAATGAAAAAAAATAATAACTTTGGATGAAAAATCTTTCTAGCCAGCCAAGAAAATAGAGCTTTCTGTAGACTCGTTACAGGTTTAAATCCTTTCATTATGAATTAAATTTGGAATGGGAGTCTTTTGCCAATAAAAATAATGGAGAATAAGCCTTTACAGCTTCATACATAATGTAGAATCCTGAGTTACCCTCATTCTTTGTTGTTTCAGAAATGATGACAAGAAAAGTCTTTTTTAGGATTTTTGATCCACCAATTGTTAATCAACAGACAAGGAGTCTGAGGATTTAGAAAGCCAACTTAATTCAAAATTTAAAGGGCTGGAGAGATGGCTCAGTGGTTAAGAGCACTGACTGCACTTCCAGGGGTCCTGAGTTCAAATCCCAGCAACCACATGGTAGCTCACAACCATCTGTAATGAGATCTGATGCCCTCTTCTGGTGTGTCTGAAGACAACTACAGTGTATTCATATATACATAAAATAAATAAATCTTAAAAAAAAAATTTAAAAATCAGCATGTATTTGTATA